ATGTTCATGCCGTTGCACAGCAGCGGAGGTTCGGAGGTTATGGCCAGTCACAACACACAGCTGGCACCAGGTTTTGCCACACTCTGGCATCTTTGTCCCAATACCAGCAAACGTGGCTGCTCTCTGGGATCCCCTGGGACCTTTGCCCGTGGGGAGGCTTTATGGCCTCTACCAAATGCACGCCAAGCAGCGGAACTGCTTCTCCCCGTGTGGCACACGGACCTCTCAGACCCCGCTGCCTGCTCCTGGGGCTCCGCCCCGCTTCCTCACCAGAGCACCGCCGGGCACTGGGCTCCAGAACTTCAGACTGTGTTCCACTGTTTGTAGAATCCTGGTGGTACTGAAACCCTCTCCTTTCTTCTCGTCAGTGGTTTTGGGGAACAGATTCCTTGTTCAGTTCCCTGCGAGTGTTTTCACTCTTTCTCTCCAGCTGCTTTTGGGGGGAGTGCTTTTCTTGCACGATCTTGATGTGCCTCACTCTCCCCCTTTCTCTTTCTCTGTCCTCTCTCCACGGAAACAGCTCCCTACCCTCTGGGGCTTTTTTCTCCACCAGTTCACGTCTCCGCACGGCGTACCTGCCGAGTTCTGTGGCTCAGGGTATACGGATTGTTGTGTTAATCCTCAGATCAGTTTCCTAGGTGTGCAGAATGGCTTGGTGCTGATCTGGCTGCGTTTCAGGGACAAGACAAGCTGAGGGTGTCCATGCTGCTCCGCCGTATTCACTCTTGGATTTAGTCTTACTTGACTTGACCATGTAAGGTGATTTATGTATAAATGGGCAGTGTCTCCTGAGCAATTGCTCACTTAGAAAATATTCCACTTCCAAAGAAGTGTTACCAGGTGAAGCTAGCTCCTGGGTGTTTCCTCCCAAGGACCTCCGTTTCATTCGCCCTCTTGTTATCAGTATTCACAAATCCATCTTCCTCAGAAACTGCCCCTCGTTTTATTTTCCTGCTTACCTCTACAGCTCCATGAGGCTTAAGTATACTTTCTGGGTTCCTCATCTTGGGGGCTTATGCACTCAAGGCACCCGTCTTCCCCTCCTGCTCCTAGTTTCTGCCTGCGTCGCCAGTGGCAATTCTGGTGGGACCCCAGGCTCTTAAACCCTCAAGGCTCTGCATTCATTTAATTCTGTGAAATAGCATGTGATTGGATTGTGGCTCCCTGTCTACTACTTTCTTTTGTATTTGTATAAGGAAATACTTAGTAATAATACTTTTGTTGATAGTTACCAGTAGCCAAGTGTTTCAAATAATCGTTACATCTTGGAAGTCTAGGAATCTTTTTTTTTTTTTTTTTCCTATACAGGGCTATAGGGAAAAATTAATAAACTGTTGAGTATACGTGTTTTTAGCCCTTGGTATTTAATTTAGAGTTTATAGAGTATAAGGCTTTGGAACTCACTGGGTTGTTAGGTTCAGGTGCTACACGCAGTGGTGTTGATGTCGACGTTTTTATTTTAGCTGTTGTCTGCAGTGTGCATGTGATGCTCAAAGTGGTTTTACATTTATGGAGCCTTTTGTCTGTATAAGAATATGCTGATACCAGCGTAAACTTTGTAAAACCCACATTTTCTAAATTTTACATACATTTTTCAAACGCTCAATTTTTCTTGTTCTCAATATCACGGTAGATTTGCCCGACTCGTGTACGTTAAGCTGTCACACACATTAGGTAAGTAGGTGTTTCAGAACAAAAATTCCTGTTTGAATACTTTGCTGGAGGATTTTCGCTCCGAATTGAAGTGCTAAAGGAAGCGCACACATAGGAAGCTTGTATCCTGTCTGCTGCAGCTGTGTCTGCACCGTGCTCCCTGTGGACCAGCCCTGTCCGCTAACCCTCCCTGTGACGATGGGAATGTTCTAGATCTGCGATGTCCGGTATGGTAGCCGCTGGCCAAGGTGGCTGTTGAGCCCTTGAAATGTGGCTAATGTAACTGAGGAACTGGACTTTTTATTTCACTGAATTTTGATTCATACTGAGATAGTTACATGCCGAATGAATAGTCTGGGTGGCTCAGTCAGTTTAGCGTCCCACTCTCGATGGCGGCTCTGGCCGTGGTCTCGCGGTTTGTGAGACTGAGCCCCCCGTTGGGCTCCATGCTGACATCATGCCGCCTGTTTGGGATTCTCTCTTCTCCGGCCCTCCCCCACTCACGCTTGCACTCTTTCTCTTTTGTTCTCTCTCTCTCTCGACTAAACTTAAAAAAAAAAGTCACGTGGCCAGTGGATGCTATATTGGGCAGTACGGTAACGTGGACT